TTCTTTCCTTGATTAAATTTCAAAAGTTTAAATTATGATTTCAATCTCTTAATAATGTTTGCATTTATATTGTTTTACAAATACATTTTAAATACATCTCACGGATTCGTATACTGGCCAACCATTCGACAGAAGAGTTAATCCGGTGAAATAATCACGGTATGATTACGATAATCTCCAATCACATATGTTCGTAAGTGAGTTTCCTGGTACTAGAACGCATTAAATACAGACACGATTATTATTATATATCGTAGTTTTCGTTATGTATTGCGTTTTGCATTATTCGATCTCTAATGCACTCTAAATCCAATCCACTATAAACTAATTGTAATGTCATGGTTGATCAATTCTATTAAAATTCAATCATTATTACAATCCTACAAGGAAGAGATAATAGGAAATCTTAAAAGGATTTTTTATTCTACTAGATTGTTTTTATAGTATCAATAAAGTATAAATTCTTTTAAACTATAAATTATAAATTATCAACCGATGAGATTTAACTTCTCATACAACGAGAATGATGAAAAAATTTGTGTGAATAATCGATCGAAATGTATTTTTTTTCACGTGGAATCGAAAGCAAAGATAGGGGATGAACGCAAGAAATAAAGTGAAATCACAAAATCGGAGATGAGAAAACAAGCGTGCGAGCTTACTTATCAAAACGATACAATTACGACGCGGTAGTCGCCGGTTTTACATAATGCATATCGAGTTACAAAGTAATGTTCAGAGCACGCACCGCGGTGGCACTAATTTCCGTGAATCAACAGCGCCAGGAAGCTCTTCTTGCACAGCCGCTTGAAAAATAACCGCGTAGTCACATCGGTGATTAGTGATGGGACTGATCGCAAAATCATTCAACATAAGCGTTCAGACAAGCAGTTTGCAGTAATTTTCAAGTCTTCGTTGTTAAAATTCCAAAATTTCCGTTCTTTCATATTTCAAAAATTTTCTATGCATTCTTATATATCTATATCTAAATTCATATTTCTACTTCTGAAATTTCTTTTCTGAATTTCCATACTTTTATACTGATATATTTCCTATTTCTGAACGTATCTTCGATTCATATGTCTAATCTATATTTTCATAATTTTCTTTCTTCTAACTTCTTCCTAACTTGGTTTCATCTATAATAACAATCGTTATATATTTCTTCTTCAGTTTTATGTCATAATATCTCATCAAAGTATTGCTTTCATTTAAATAACGATACTATACTTACTTATGATTTAAACAATAATATATAGTTTGTTTGACCGGATTTTCGATACGATACGTGAGAGTATTAATCCCATCACTATCGTCGATGATCGGCAACCGCACGGCAGGCGGTCGGCTTCTTTCCCGCAGCTCCTTCCAGGGCGACTCTCGATCCATGTTTCATGAGGCTCCTCATGCTCGAACTAGAGAAAGGGCCGGCCACGTACAAGCACTTACAAGCCGAGGGAGGCAGGCCGCTGCTCTGAATCACAGGTACCTAGGCGATTCTTTGTGATCGATACACTCGCGACACTACGGCGCCACCCTTACCTTTTTCTTCTCGCGATTATAATTGTCTTTATCCACAAAGAGTGGGGAAGCTCCTTACAAACGTTCCATGAAATGATCTTGATTGAAATCGCTAACTTCATTTGTGTCGATATTAAATAGTGTTGAACGAAAGTTATAGGGAACCCTTGTTAGCGAGATAAGGCGATTACTATATGCTGAAGTTCATTTAAACGAAAGGTTTCATTATAAAGTTTGAAGCCGATGTAACATATAGGAAGATTTTCATTGATCAAATTATTAATCTTAGTTGTACAAGTGGTATAGTTTTCTTGTAAAGCAATAAAATTCTGAAACTAAAGAAAGATAAAAATTACTGATTAATTAAATATAAAAAATTATTGATTAACTGATAATTTAATAATAGTTGTTAATAATTTTTAATTTATTTTTTTATGAGATATGATTCATATTCATAATTTTATATCAGATATAAAAATATAATATTTATGTTTGCTTTAATAATTTCATTATTTCATGGATTGAATTTCTCTTTTACTATATTATTAAAAATTTACTAATAAAAAATTTGGAAATAAATCTATTTATATATTTTTACAATATATTAAAATAAATTTTAGATAGATTTACATAATATATAGATTTACATGAATTCATTTACATTTCAAACTAAAAGAATGAAAGATTATTACAAAGATTATTATAAATTTTACAATTTTTTATCATTTTTTATCATTTTAAACTATTTTCTCTTTTTCTCAAGTTGAGAAAAGATACGAAATTAGATCGAATCGAATTGGATACAAGCATACCTGGATAAAAGAAAAATTCAAACACGAAATGTGCGTGCACATTTTCAATGGTCGCAATGAATAATGGACAGACGGAACATTTCGTCGGGAATGTCATGCAGGCCGAATTCGTAGAAGAGAATCATCTTGTACACGCGTCTACTGCGAAATACAGTTGCAGAGGCAATATAATCTCAAAGATTTCAGGGAATCATCGATGAATTCGACGAAATCTCCTTTGCGGTGAACAGCGAAAGGGTTGGCATGACTTACGTTCGCCACGTGTCCTGACGCGTGTTTGCGAATGCAATCTATAAGCTCGCTTGTCTTAACCGATCGACCATCGATTTGCTTAAATAACAAATTGTAAATTGTTATCACCCACTGAGTTCTTGGTAAATCGAATCAGGATAGAATGAAATTACCCGAGATCTTGGTATTTGCTTAACGAATTGCATATTATATATATATATAAATATATATATAATATTTTATATCAAAAAATTTATTTCAATTTTTTGTATCTTTTAATTTTTTTATTCAAATTAAAATATTGCTATTTACCTCACATTTGATCCAATTGAAATTGAGAGAATTAGAATCACGACATTTTCCAAAATGTCTGCTGTTAATTCTAATCTGTAATAATCTAACATGGCATCTTCATTAAAGTTATTTTCCGACATTTGTTTGTAAAATATATAAATATAAATAAAGTATATTTTTAAGTTACGAAAATGCCAATATTGAAGAAAAATTAATACAAATACATTTCGAGCAGAAAAAAGAAACTATCAGTAGCACATCGCGTGAAGCAAGAATGAAAAATTCGTCTGACAGGAAATCGATGATGCGTTGTTACAACTGATGCATTCTTCGATTCTCAATACAGCGTTATGCGATGAAATTTAAACGAAATAAATTTAAACAGGATCAGGAACTGATGTTCACATAAATATGGGGTTAGGGTTCGTCAAGTAAAAATTCACATTAATCCATGGCTCACTATTCACTTAATATGTGTTAAATTTTTTATTTTTCGTTAAGTTTTCTCCATTATTTTTTCTTTATGCACTTTTCGCTTTATTTTTCTTTTCATATCTTGTTATTTATCGTAATGGCATATGACTAAACAAATTGTTCACGAACAATATTGTGAGAAATGTTTGTAGTTGTGTCTTTGACAGATTTAAAATGACTTGAATAGTACATTTCATTTACTGCACTTTATATTTCTTCCATCAAATTTTTTTTTCATTCTTGCCTAATTTATATTTATTATTTCTTATTCATATCACCTTTACTAGATTTGAAAAATTAGTTTTTTAGAATTTTTAAGTTTTAATTCTTTATTATTTTTTGTTCCTTCGATTTAATTTAATAGAAAACTAATTTAACAGAAATGTGGCGTCATCTGGTATATAAAAAAGTAATTATTTAATTTTGTTGTTAAAATCATTGTCCTCTTTATCCTTAAACTTAATATTAAAATATTATAATGAATTTTTATTTATATTAAGATATATAACAAATTTATTTAAAAATAAAAAAAAATATTCATTTTATTTAGCTTTTAAAATAAATAATTCTTAAATCATAAATTAAATTATGATAATGATAATCGAGATATGATACGCATGACATGATCGAGATAGCACAATCGATTAGCAACTATATCTACATATATATATATGACTGTTTTTCTAACCTCAAAGTAACGCATGAGTTGCATGCGTTAAAAGAAATTGGAGTGTCAAAATCTAATATTGGAAAAAGGAAATGAGCGATGCCGAACTTCAGGAAGAGGAAAGAGAAGTACTTCTTTCGATATATGATGGAGATCCAGCTTTTAAACAGTTGACACCTATTACATTTCAGTATAAGGTTTGTCCTTCGTAAAAATATAAAAAATGTTTCATTATATATTTATTTATTTTTTTATATTGTGAAATATAATAACTTAATTTTAAAATTAATCAATATTCGTGATTGAATTATATTTATTCGAGCTTTATTAAAATCATGGTTTTTAAATTAAAATATTTTTTTAACTTTATATATATATATATATGTGTGTATATAATATTGATTTTATATACAGTATGGAGAGGACAATGATATGAAATCATTTCTATTGGAAATTTCATGGGGCACAACATATCCATCAGAAAGACCTACTATTAATATGAATACCTTTTATAACAAGCATATGTAAGTCCAATCATGTTGTTCTTTGACTATCCTTGCATTCTGTTGCTTTTATTAAAGGTGAATGATTGGAATACAGTGTGCAAGAAGTAAAAGATAAAGTGGTTCAACATCTGAAAGCAGAGGCTGATCAATGGTTAGGAAGTGCTATGACTTACACATTATTTCAATCTGTACAAGAACATTTTACTGAACTAATATCAGCACAACCAGATACTGTTGTTGATTTAAACTCACAAATTAACCAACTTAAAATAGCAGATGAACATCAAAAGGTAAGAAATAATTATATCAAATTATAAATTTATTTAAAATACATATATAAGAAAATCAATATGTTACGTCAAGCTGGAAGAAACAACAAAGAAGCCAAAGAAGGAACATCTAACTAAAGCTCAAAAGCGCAGACAATGGAATAAAGCAGATGGAAAAGGAGAAAAACCACGAGGATGGGATTGGGTGGATATAGTAAAACATTTATCACAGACTGGCCCTAAACAAGAGCAAGAGTCATAGTTTAACTTCATTGAAATATTTGTACAGGTTAAAGGCGTATTATATTTTTATAAATTATTGGAAATAAACTGGTTTCCATATAGATTTTTACTAATAATATAATCACCTGTGATAAAAATTTGTAAGAAAATATTTATAAATAATTTTATCTCATTTCCAACAAATAGTTACAAGATATGCAAATAAAATTGCTTAAATAATTAACAATTATAAAATTTTATCAAGATAAATAATAAGGAACAACAATATTTTAATTTCCAATGTTCATGCTGTTTTTTTTACCAGTTTATAATTTTTTATAAAAATCTCCACCCTGCTACTGGTAATAAATTAGTTTCCGTTTTCCATCCTAAAAAATTAATATAAAAAATTATATAAATAAAAGAAATTCTAAACTTTTATCATATAATAGCAAAATTATTTACCTTTATTTTCAAGATCACTAATAAATGCTTTAAATTCATTAGAAATCAATAAATTTGTAGCATAAATACTCTCTATGGCTTTTGATGATTGTATGCCATTGTTTGTAGTTGAATATTTTTTATTAAGTACATAAAGTCGCATCAAGGGATACGACAAATCACTTACTTCGGGTTTTAAGAAAATATCCTAAAAAAACATAATGTTAGAAATATAAATATACAAATGTATTTATATGACTTACTTACAAGTGGCACTTTCAAAGACATACAAATAAACAAGCCGCAAAGACAAGCATGAAAATATGCTTCCAAAACATCGTATGGTTGCGCGTCTTTTTTAAGGCATATAAAAATAGTTTTATTTTGTACATCAATCGAAATCAAATATTTTCTATCTAAAAAGAGTTTCAATGAAAGCTCAGTGTCACTTGTTAAAATTAAATCTTTTTTTATAAGAGCTGCAAGAGAGACACCTATTTTTATATTAAATCCACATATGTTCATTGCTGCAAAAAAAATTATTAATAGAAGTAATAATCTGTATCAATTTAATGTTTTAAATTGAACTCAAACATTTCTTACTAGATTTTGTTAATAATAATACTGATTCCTTTTTGTTAACTTCTTCTGGTTTTGGAATGACTTCATTCGAAATATAACTTTTTACTATCAAAGCTAAACGATCTTCATTTAAAGAATTTAAGCATAATGCTTTTACCGCCGAATAATTTGCATAAAGATGTATTATCACGAGGAAGAGATAAAGTTCCATTATATATCTACATGCAGATATATAGATACATGCTATAGATACATTAACAATATTGCTAACATGTTTCTTATAAAATTAAATTCACTTATTACAAAAACAATAAATATTTGTAATAAAATACTTACTGGCCATTGTGAAAAATTGAAAGTATTAAAATACCAACAAAAGATGCTATTAAATTTACACATGTTTCTTGACTTCCATCTTTAGCTGATACATCTGCCAAATTATTTTGTAATGCCTATAATATACAATTCAGTATTATAATTAAATAAATCTTTTTTTAAATTTTTTTTACCTGATGTTGCGTAAGTGCTGCTCTTGTTGCTCCGCCAGCAACACCAACAATTGATTTCATTGCTGTAGAAATACATAATATTCCAAGAGAATAAGAAGAAAAATAAGGTAAAAGTAATTCTAATCCCATTGCTAAATCATTAAGAATATCAGCAAAAAGTCTCCATTTTTTACATTGTCCATCTAAATCTGTCCTAATAAATGAATAATAAATGTTATTTTTATAAAGATTAATTACAAGTATTATATTCATTTATATGATTTTTATTTACCCATTCCACCATGCAAATATAATTCGACCAACCATTCCAGTCCCATCTTTTAATATCCATGTTATTGCTGCTGCTAATGGAGTTGCTGCAGCTTCACCTACACCTACTCCTTGCATAATAGAATGTGTTGTGAGAGTTCCCATTATGGTACTTGCAAATGCCTACCACAAATTAAAAAATAATAATACAGATTAATTTCATTTAAAAACAATACTTTCATTCATAATATTGCAAATAGATTTTATATCTTTCTATGTAAACTAACCTGAACTGTATCCCATATTTGATAAGAAGTATAATCGGGATGAACGCTATCAGGAAATCCTTGAGGTAAAAATACTTCTTTTATAATCGATATTAAACCGGAATAAAAAGACTTCGTTCTAGTTGTGTCTGATAACAGTTCAGTTATCGATTGCTCGTCTGTAGAAGTTAAGCGATAGGTTAGGTAAACTAATAGTAATGTTTATTATGTCAGAATACAGATACCTTTTGATTTGACGAAAAATCTATCTTTCTCACTCCCGTAGGCCTCAGTGAATAATAATCGCTCATGCATTTCGAAGTGCACTGAGGTTACTTTGGTTTAATTTGAATGTACCGTATGATAACATATGCACTTTTATTAACGATCATAGTCGCTGTTATATCCGCGCGCGATTACACTTGCACTACAGATGCACTAAAATTCCCTAATATTTTACGAAAAATATATCACGAAAATTTCATAATTAAATATTTTTCAAAAAAGGATTCACTAATATACAAAAATATGTGAAAAAAGACGACGAAAATAGAGTTCTCTTTTCTTTTTTTTCTTTTAACAAGAGAATATATGATATTTCAATTTAGAAATTTTATAAAATGGAAAATTTCTGTTTACTTATTCAAATATTTTTCATATTTTTATTTTTATAATTTTTCTATGATATTGCATTGCGCATTTGAAAAAATTAAAGAAGCATCTTCAATTATTTCATTTAATTCGTTTATGCATGCATCCAATCTTCTTTTTACATTTTTTGCATCAAATTTTGAATTCTTTAATAAATTAACTTTTTGTATTTTATTATGGAAATCTGAAATGAAATGGTTTCCACGAACTTCTGCGCCACCACCCATTCGATTTATTGAATATTTGAAAAGTTCACTTTCATCTTCCATATTGTCTACTAAATTTATTTTGTACTTATTGTTAGTCAATTCATTTTTCATTTTCGATTCAATTTTATTTTCTTGCGATTTTTCAGATTCAATTCCAATTAATTTACATGTGTAATTAACTTTTGCACATGTTATATTGTTTTCACTATTTGTCAAATCTTCTAACTGATATTTTTCGTCATTCTTTTGTTCTTTTGTATTTGTTAATTTTGTTATATTTACATCAGAATCTAAAGTTACAAAAAGATTAGTTTTCGATGAAAATTCTATTTTCTTATTTGGTTTTAAAACATTGTTATCCTTCATATATGATTCTATCTTGAAAAAATTTAAAAAAGATCGTTTCCTTTTACGATCCATTGTTAAGTCACACTGAGTTCCCTGAGAAATTTTCATCTTCCTTTCTTTTTCCATGTTTTCAAAAACAAACTCTGAATCTCTTACTTGTAATTTTTCACTTGTTAAAAGATTATTTAAATCTGTTATATAATTAGGTGCTTTATCATCAATTTTTTTATATTTTGTTTTATAATTATTTAATAAATTATTTTTTAAAAAACTTGCAAGAATATCTGATCTTTTTGAAAAAATAACTTTATCAAATTTTATATTACTTTGAGAAGTGTTAAAATCATTTTCAAAACTGAAAGACATGTTGCAAGCATTTTCAGTTTTTTTAAATAATTTCCTTTTTTTATCATAATTGACATTTTTTAAAGCACTGATTTCGTCTCGTAATTGTAGAATTTTATGATTTACAATAGTTATAATTTTCGCAATATCATTTAAATTGATTTCTTCATCTTGGACGTGACAACAACAACGATTTGTCGTTGATTGTTTTACATGTATTGACATTTCTATTAATATTTTTATATAACAGCATATTATATATTCAAAAGAAAATGCTTACAATAATAATGTATTTTGCCTTGTGAAGTGAAAAAAATTAATTTCTTCTTCTATGTTACATTAAGTGTTTACATTATTTCACGATGAAATTATAGGTTATGTTTGTGACATTACAATGAAGTAAATTCAGATTGGCGCGAAGTTCATCTGTTCTTGTATTTTAATTAAATACTAAAATAGATATGTATATATTTTTGGAATTGACAAATATGTTACATATTTTATGAAGTATAATATGTCCGAAAAATATGTGAAGGAAATTTTTGAGAAGCTTGATGAAATTGAGAAATTACATGCAAAACTGCGCAGTTTGGTGCCACGCGTAAAAAATAATGAATTAGAAATCACGGAAAACAAACAATCTGTTGCGAAAGAAACGAAAGAGAATAAACATTTACCAGAACAAAAAACTATCAATTTAAAATCAAGGATAAGAAAGTTATTCGGTAAAAAAACGAAACCTCAATTAATAAAATATTTTAAAAAGTTTAAAAATAATTCTAGCAATAAATGGAAAGAATTAAAAAATCGTTTAGCAACTCTAAACGAACCTGAAGTTATATTGGGTAAAAATTAATTACTCGTTTTGTAAAAGTAGATATACTTCATTTACTATAATTGTTTTTATTAAAATTTTCAGTAAGCAGAGCTTCTCAAGTATCAGATGGTGATATATCAAAATTAATTTCAGAAGAAAAATCTCCAAAAAAAAAGAGAAAATTATTTAAGAAAAAAAAATCGGCACCGCAAGATTTTCCAGATCAAGTTTTAAAACACTTAGGTTATTTTTATGATTCTAATCCAATTTTAAATGACTATATAGTATCAATGCATGATCATGGTTTAGGTAAAAATACACCTCATAAAGTGCAGAAAAAGGCACTTGTCCAAGACGAGGATACTGAAACATTAAAAATTGTTTCATCTGCAAGGAAAATCCCAACGACTCCCGATGGATTAAAATGGTCTTCATTACTCCGTCACAACCCGTCCCCATAAATTATCAGGAAAATATATTGACGTTCAATTAGAAATACAATACATATTTCTTTGATGAATTCTAAGATTAATGAAATAATATATTATGAATAATATATAAGCACCGTCATAAGAACTTAATTATAATAAGAAAAATAAGGCGTATGAAGTATGAAACATAGAATGCAATAAGAAGATTGATATTCCATAATTTTTTTTATATATATATATAAATATAATTTTTATTTTATTCATTTAAACTTATTTTGACACATCAAATATCATTTCGTAGTACTGTACTGTACTGCCATCTGAACCAGGATCGAGAATAAATATTTCCATGTGGTAGTACTCGAAGCAGCCCAATGAGAAAGAAACGGAAATGTTTGAAAGAAACCTTAGAGTACGTGGGCTGGCAGATGGGGGCACCGGAAAGGCGGATTCTACCGGAAGTCACGAAAGTTCAAACATAACATTACGATTACGAATAAATTTTTCGTTTTTAATTTATATCGAAATGAATCAAGTTTATTTATAAGATAGAAAAAAATATTCATATTTTAACATTAATTTTTATATCGAAACTTTTCATTTGTGCTTAATATTTTTTTAATTTAATTCTCTAATACTTTTTTCTTTTTCTTGCTGTTCTTTTTTTGTTATTGATACATTCTAATTTCAAAAATTAAAAAAAATATTAAAAATAATTTATGACTGTACATAATTTTAAAGTATTTTATAATACAATTGCAAATTCAATCTTGTTTGATGTACAATGACTAATCGATTTCAATGACAATCAGGTAAATTTAGATGTTGTTCCGTGATTTGCACGGATTCATATTGTATTGAAGACTATTGGAAATTTGACAAAAAAATTGAACTCATAATGTCATTTTCTACGATGTAAAAACTGGAACTCTGACTTGCGTATATTACATTTTTGTTTGAAGCAATGAACAATCAGCATTGGTAATGGTGTTTAACGGTTTTTCCTAGGAAAAAAAATGTTTTCAAGTATAAATGCAAGCGTTATAAATATTTATGTATATTAATAAACAAATAATCCTTTTTTAGGTAAAATCAATAAATTGAGTAATTTTTTGATTCTTTTTTAAGTTAAATTTAAAAAACTACTATGTTTTTATGTGTAATATTACCAATTATTTGTAAACATCCAATAATCAATGAATTGAATATTATTATTCTAAGAATAAGATTGAAACAAGGTAATAATAGAATAACTAGAATATTTAATAATAATTAGAATATTTCAAATATTCTTTTTTATTTATTAAAAAAATTTTTTATTAATAAAAAATTTGTAAATATTCCATGATATTCATTGTTATTGGACAAGTTCTAATTTGAAACTTGAAGATGTCTCAAAGTATATCACGATATCAGGAGGATAACAGAGCTTCGGTCCTAAAAACAAGAAATATCGATAAACAAACCGGTTACACTTAAACGAATCAGGTAAAAGTGCGAATAAACGAGCGTATGAAGAACGTGCCGCTGCCGTTCCTCATGTTCCTTCCTAGGCCCAGTGCTCGTTTTCCAGTCAACGACTTTGTCGGATGTGTTGCACATACGTGCACTGTTGCATACGGGAAATATGGCGTACCGCATACACGCACGTGGGTCGCGAAGGTGGGGCTATGCCTTGCAAGCTATTCCTGGAGTCGCAAGTAGCATAACAACACAGCCCTATACGACGCTATGTACTTATGTTTCGTTGCGGCCGAGAGATGGGGTGGTGGATTGATAACGCAACGACATCTTGAAATTCCTTGCTCTACTCTTCAGAAAATGTGATTCATGGAAACAATCTCCATATTCGTTTTCATTAATCGTCGATTTTAATTAGACGAAGAGAGAAAGGTATTTGTCGAGCCTAGGTTGAATATCCTATTAGTCAATCGTTTCGTCACTAATTTAAAGCGCACTTGATAATTCTAAGAATTACCATCACTGTTTCATTGGCTATTTATGGTGTGAATGGAAGGATAAGCAATTTTCCTTCAAGAATTTCGGTATCGAGCAAATGGACTACGTATATTTTAAACCTATATGATATTCATATCTGAACCTTTCTCAAGTAAAACAAAAAAGATTAGAACGTATGAATACCAAGTCTACGAATAAATTGAATAATTGTTTATAATGTGTTTACTAAATAGAAAGTTATTGTTAATGCATGGTAATGCATAATGAACAACTTATGGGATATTTCTAAGCACTTGACACAGCATTTCGAGGAATTTGAAAATCGCGAAACAACAGATTCACGAAGGGAAATTAATTTCATCGGCAAGGGGCACGCGACTTCTCGAGTCACACGGTATTCCTCTCTTTTCTCTTCTTTCCTCTATCGTCCTTTGCCCCGTCCCCACCATTCCACAGTTTTGTAATGCCTCTCTGTCTCTGGCACTTCCTGTGTTCCGCCACGTTCACCTGACTGCCGGCACCTGCCTTCATAACTATCTAGGTGTACACAGCGTATAGAAGCAAAGCGTGTATTCTATGGGACTTTAGTTTCTCCGCTCGTTTCATCGGCCACGGTGTACTCTCTGGCTTGTGCCTACTAGCGCACACATTCCACCTGGAAACACGTCGAGTTCGCTACACGCAGTCGATGTTACGCTGTCGTTCACCACGGCCGGACTATCGGAGCTTTTCCTCTCCCGTTGATAACAGTCACGCCTCGAACCGGCGAACCTGCGCCCGATCATTAGTGTCCTCCGCGACCACCGATAGTTCAATTTCTCCAGGATTACCATTGGAATCGAAAGGTTCGATTATTATAAATAATTCTATTTCTTCTTTCTTTGATATTTCTCTTTATTACCTCTTCTGATACCTGTGTCTTTGTAGAATTTTTCCAAAGAATAATCGAAGGGACCTATTACCTAGATTTTGAATAATAATAGGTATTGAAGGTCTATCGCGATCCTCGAAATCCATTGTGATCTTTCTTGAAAGGAAGCATAGTTCGGATCTATATTTGAATTTCTATTGGAATAGAATTTCTGTTGGATCATTGTTATTGATATTGTTTAATAAGCGACGTTTTTATTTTTCATGTTCTGATTGAGAAGAAGGAAGAATAGATTGTGGAACGTTTCAACAAGGATGGCATAGAAGATTTGAAATAGCTGAGGGAGCGTGCCGAACGATCCTTTTCCATTTTACGAGCCGAGATCTCAACTCGATATTCGCGAATTCTTGCGATAGTGAAGGATTTGTTTAGTGTAATAATTCGTTTCTCGAAGCCGAAAGGTGAATCTTCACTGTAAAGTGAACTGTTTGCATGTGCAGCTGATTCCTTTATCAGCTCAGTTGGCTTCAGTGCTTTATAATGTCATCTGGATTTCGTAGCCGGTGAGTAATTCTTGTATTGTAAGTTTCTTAATAAAACCAATATTCTGATTTTTCTATTATTACATCTATGGTAGATTAAAATTAAAAATTTTAAAAAAATTTTTCTCTCACATAATTATCGATTAAAATCGATAGATTTTATATCTCTTTTTCATTACTATTTTTGTTTTCTAATATTTGAAAAATTATTAATTGCAAGTAAGAACTGTTACCTTAGGATTTAAAGATATTAGAGAGTGCCATAAAACATTCACGATCGATAGAGGTGATTATTGATGGAAAATCCCAGACTCCTGATTTGAAAAACAAATTTCGGATATTACTAGTCAGGACAGGTAGAAAAACCTATTGAAACAATGGGCTCGTGCGTTTCTTCTCATAGGCGGCTGTAATGGCGTTCCTCTTGGCGTGAATACGCACGTGTTCCGGCCGCGTTCCAAGAGCGAGCAATTTCGATTCTTCCATAGCTTTCCCACAACGATCCTCTTCTTGAAACTTTATTCGCTTGAAATAACTCCAGAGGAAATTCTAAACACGTTAAAGTATTATTATCATAATAATTCTTATTTCTTCTCTCGTCAAGTGAAAGAAAGTGAAGAAACTATTTTTACTTTCAGAAACTTATTTCTTTTAATTCATAACCATTCTTCGATTCAATCTAATTCTCTTTTTTTTTACAATAAACGAGCCTTCATTTCTATATACATTCCATTCTCAACATTGATTTTATTCCATTCTTTTATTCGACAAGAAATTTTAATATCGTCAATTAAAATTATTCGAATTGTACGCGTACCAATATTCGATCTTATTAATTGCCGACTAATAATTGTTAAATTGCATCGATCGATTTAATGCATAGTATCGTAACAAGGATGCATACTGATATATAAACTGGAACGGTGAATTATTAATTCGAAACAATCCGATTGACGAGGGAGAATAATGAGGCCGCATGCATCAACCGTTCTCCCGACTGTTTACTTATTGCCGCGTGTGCTATTACAAAGGAACTCGGTATCTACCTTCGTTTCTCGGCTACTGGCTGCTAAGTGGCTCGTTTCAATGGAAAATACGCCGCTAATAAACGTTAATTTAATCGTATCGAATGTAATAGGTATCCGTTATTAACAACTTTTTATTAACAAGGATTTTAGTTTCGATCATTTTACAATTTTCAATTCATATATGGATTCTGAAGAGGAAGTAGAATTCTCGATTGAAATCCCTTTCATAATTTCGAGAATCGAATTTTTTTTAATTTAATTCATTAATTTGAAATTAATTCTACAAATATGAAAAATAATTTTATTTAATAGATTTTTTTGATTTTTTTGATTAATCTTGTATCATCAAAAACTCTACATTAATTAATTTTTCTTGAATCATAAGTTGTTTTAATTAATCACAAAATTTAAAGATGATTCAAGAATATTTGCATAATTTTAATTAAAACCTTATTTTCTTCGCAACGCTGTTTTTCTCTAAAGTAAAATTTTGTATTCCTACGAATATACAATCGATATGATTTCGATGAATGGAGAAAGAAAGAAGAAAAATTAATAAGAATAATATTAAAGTGTGGGATGGCAAGAGTGCATCCGATGACATTTTCCTCGTGGCACGTTCACGCCTATCTGGTGGCAGAATCGCGCGCGTGCATACGAACGCTTCGTTACATTCTCGAAGACAACCTCGAGGCCAGGATCTCCGACTTTCTCTCATCTCCGTGCATCCATCTTAGGTGTGCGGTTGCATATGCACGGAATGCTGCTGCTGACCGATAAATACCCGTGACGATCAAAGCGATCAAAGATTGATCGATTACCCAGTCTCTTTTTATGGCGCCTTCTAAATGTTTCCACGAATGGTATTCGATTCGATTTAAATTGCTTCTGAAATTTTAGGAATGTTGAATTTTTCATCCTTTCTTTATTATGTGAATGCATAATAAATCGTATCAAAGTCTATTTTATCCTCTTTCCTTTGAATTCTAATTTGAATATTTTAGTTAGATTTAGCTTCTTTGGGACGAAAAAATTTCAGAGTTAACTCCGATTCAAGATCCCCAAAAATCGTAGGAGTTTTTAAAATATTCTAGAATAAGAAAATGTTACATTAGTAAAAGTAAAAAGAGCGATAATTTAATTCGATAAAATAAGAATTCTATTTTTTTAAACTTATTAGCGAATTTAAGTTGCTAAACCTTATAAGAATTCTTCGTGTTACGTTTAACCGAGTTTCAACATACCTGCTTAAGGTGAATGAATTAGTATGAAAGGGAGAACACCGAATTCCAGCGCATACTTGTACATATATGCGAATAGGAGAAGGGTCTGTAATTCCAAGTACCACCTGCTCCGATCGTAGATTCAACATCGCATATCCTATTTTATTTCTTTTTCATTTCGAATATTCCGATTCTTTGGAATTCTTTAAGAAAAAAAAATATTCTCTGGAAAAGATTAATAACAATTTTAAATTACGTTAATTTTGAATAACATTAAAATCGATGTACCTCGAGATATTCATAAGATATATCTGATTATTAAATTAATCAATTTTTAAACATTTTATTTAAAAAACACTTTGAAGAATATAAAGACGACATTATGAGTACTTCTTCATCTTTTTTTTCATTTGGGCGACATTTAACAGACCTTGGGCGAGTTTATGCAAAATTGGAAATCACCGTGAATACTAAAACTGCTTGGAGACGTGTTACTCTCATCGCTAGTCCCCGATGCATCGTGGCTGCAGCTGCCCGCTCTGTGTGACAGCTGCAGCTTTTTACTCACTGCACTGGTTACTCTGGTTTCCATGTGCGGAAGACGTCGGACACGTTGTATGTAGTATGATCGTGCTGGTCGCACGCCACTGGCCGATAAAAAGACCGTGGAAAAAGAGAGGGAAACGACGCAATATGATATCCTATTACACATATAAATTATAACAATATATAATTACCGTAGACAACTTTTTGATTCTCCAGCCATGTCGATTGATCTTAAGGATTGGTTACTTGTATGGAAATGATCAAATAAATTTCCACGTAATTTGTGTTTACGAATTTCATCGTGCACATTGATGCGTTATTTGTGGATCTTTTAGAAAATAATAACGCGAGAAAGCGTATTAATTCCATGCGTTGTTTGCAACTCGTAGTCCTTGAAGCTGTGTATTTCGATAAAGGTATTTAATATTTCGATATTTCATGTAGTGAGCGACGTATCACGATATTCTATATCCTGTTTATTGCAAATTAGTTGGAATCGAAAGATAAAGTTTCATTGTAGGACATGTATATTGAATACTTGTTAATGAGAAAGATATGTTAAAATAGAATTTTGTTGAAACAAAATTGATTTCTTGTTTTGATTATAAATTAAGATTTTTGTATGTTCCATTGTCATTATATTATCATAATATTGTAATAACAATATTTTAATAATTATAATATTCTCCAGTAATTATCTCAATTTTCTATAACTTTTCAAATTTTAATTTTATGAAATTATATATGTCTTATATATGTTAATGATCCTGTGATCAGATTGCGACAAAAGTAAATTTATTCGATAATTTCATTTAATAGACAATGGGCATTGTTAATTGTTATATAAGATAATCATTCGACGATATGAATGTTGATTCATAATAATTACCATAGTACCAATTCATTCCAAATTTGAACAGACACATTATCCAAAAATCTTCTTATCAAAGTTTTTGAACTTATTCACATTATCTCATTATTATTCATATTATCAATTCAACGAATACAACATTTCACATAACAGCACTCAATCAAAGCAGTGAACAGTATTTAAAATCTTCTATGTTAAATTATTCGCAAATTCACTTCAAAAAGAATAATCGAATTCTGGATAATTTTGAACAGCACCCAGAAACGTGTACCAAAGCTCGACATGGGTATGAGAGACATCTGGCCAGTGATCCATCCGAAAATGCACCAGATGCAGGTGCATCCTCGATCCGTGCAAGCGGCGCGTTTCTCTGTGATTTCATCGTTATTTTGTCCAGTCGAGTTGAGTTCGAAAGGTTTCTTTCCACGTTGGAAATTGGAGGTGATTTCACAGTTGAGGCGAACAGATGTTGTGCACGCTTTCGAAGATGTTCAACGTCTGAGAATATCATTGATTCAGATTTCGCTTTTCCTTCTACGTAAAATTGAATTGCTCGTGGAAATGTTATAATCAGTTATCTAGATCGAGATACTGATAGTTTAGATCGATGGAAAAAAGGAAACGGAATGGCGGTCGAATATTCATGATCCTTAATTACACGTTGGTAGATGAAGATCGAAATAAGAGAAAGATGTCGTGTGATGATAAATTGTTGACTGATTCTTTTGTGATGTTAGGTAAATTGAGGGAAATACTTGCTGAAATTTCCTGTTGAGAATTATAGAAGGTGAATTTGTACCATCTTTTAGTTGTTGTGTAACTTTTTTTAATTCTTCTATCCATGTCTGTGCATCACTAGAAAATTTAATTTTAAATGAGTAATAAAGAAAAAAAGATATGATAAAAATAAATGACCGAAAAAAATCGAAAAAAAAATTTTATAGAATTGAATAAAAGCAATAAAATGGAAAAATCAAAAAAAAAATTTAAAGATTAGAATTAATAGATGGAGGATTGAAAAATGAAGAATAAATAAAATTATGAATTGATTAAAGAATTTTTTAATTTTTCCATGTATATATAATCTTAGATAATAAAATTACCTGATTTCTCAAATTAAAATTCATATCCAACATAATTGAATTTAATTTTAATTTAATTTAATTTAACATAATTTAACTTCTTAAATTATACATGGTGGAAAAATTAAAAAAAGCAAATTAAGTTCATTACCCATGAATGGTAGAAATTTATGTAATAACTTATGCGTGCCCTCGTAAAACAAGCAACGAATAAACAGAATGTATTTTCCTTCTGAAAAAATAGTCAAAGAAATAATATAACTGCGTTTCTCGTTTCGCTCGCCGAGTGAACGACGTGAATTCGAATTAACCGTTGTTTTATGCGAATAGCTGACGCACTTGCAGCACGAATGGATATATTCGAGAAGGTTGGTTGGAGGTTGAGACACAAGATGAACTGGTGCCTATCCTTTCACTTGGCCGTTTTGTGATACGAACCTCCCTACTTGCGAATGGTACTTAAACGTGTGTGCGTCCGTTTATCCTTAAGGCCGATTACACAACCAAGCGAATACAGGGTGTCCCGTTTGCTCGGAATTCCTGCCACTTTCCCGATATGGGATCTAACATCTCAAGGATTTTGCTCGTTGCAACGTTATCTCGAACTGGAGAAATTTTCATTGATGAAACCTTAAAAAGAGAAATATCGAGGTTTTTAAAGAAAGATCAAATTTGTAATTTTATTAGAATCATTCAATTATTCTAATTTTTGATTGTTTTGAATCTTTTGATTGAAAAATTAGAACATTTATGATATTTATTAACAGTTTAATTATATACTCGAGATTCATGAGATGTTTGGATATATTAGAGAAAGAGAATTTTTGATTCTTCTACTTCTTCGTTGTTTAAATAACAAATAAACCACCCTATATATATTTTCAGTTAAAGTTCATCAAACCCGTAACAACTTTCATCATCCTCTTTCACAAAATATTCACTCGAATACTGACAAACATACCGATGATAATAAACATCGAAAAAACTTTTTAGGTTAGGATTTTGTCGAATTGGAAACAAAGAGTTCTGACAAATTAGGACAATGCAAGTTCCCAGAGACGCTCAAGGTAATGGAAAATCATTATATAGTAGCTCCATGAACTAACGACTTTCTTAAATATATTGCTTAAAGGCAAGAAGATGCACTTAAAGCCATTTGTTGAGAATTCGCCTGTAAGTTGTCAGTACTGCTTTCGTGTTAATAGCTCAAGTGGAATGCATAGATTCCATGGACAAACTTGAAACTTTGTGTGGATGTCACATTGAGATTTATTTCTCGTATGCGAGAAAAGAAGATCGAAAAATTTTGAAGAATTATCGACTCAACGAAATATTAGATTATCCAATTGGAAAAGGATGAGTTTCATAACAACTACCGTGTGATGAGCCGGTTACAATGTAATTGCGCCGGATAACCGGCCAATCTCTTGAAACCGGTCGTAATAGTTTCGACTTCCGGTTTCCCGCCGGATCAACCGAATCACTATAGCTTTTGTCAATAATGAATTAATGAAAAACATCATCTTGAATTCGAGTATTGGATCGTGTAAAAATTTAATTATCTATCTTCTTATTACACTTATTTTTTGCATTGTATCAATTTGATATCAAGAGATAAATTAAATTGAAAAAAAAAATAAATAAAATTAATAAGTAATGAAACTCAATAAATCCAAAAAATAATATATTTCGAAGTATGTAATGAATTCGAAGTAACAGGAAGTTTCAGAAGTAACTGGAAGCAATTGATAAATTGAAATCGATTTATTTCAAAAAACTGATAAATTCAGAAATGTCTTGCCTCGAAATTATTTAATGAATTCAAGATGATTTAACTTCAGAGTAATAAATTTGAATGGTATTACGAATTGCAAAAATTGAGGTTAATTAACGCTCATTATGATATATTTTATAATTATTAATTAAGGTTAAGACGTTAAATTTAGAAGTGGAAATGATCTCTAAATTATTAGTAGCTAAATGATTTAATTAATTTCGAAAGAGATCTAAACGTTTATTTTTATTTTAACAATTAAATAAATTATTATTAATATCTTGATATAATCATATTGAATTTCGTATTCATTTTTATTGATCGTTTTCCAATGCGATTTCAGATTTAACCTTTTCTCCAAAATACTTAAGTTAATTAAAGCCATTTAACAAGAAAATTCGATCGAACTGAATAAGAATGAATCTCTTTGCATTTAAGTAGCCTATTAATTCCTTAGTTCAAACGAAAAAAATAATTGATATACCAAAATAAACTTTTGCTAATTGTTTCGATAAACTATTTTAATAATACTTTAATCTGCACAATATATATATATACTGTCTATTTCATTTCCATATATCTTTCTAAGAATTAACTTTTCAATTTGGCTGTCATAAAAATCAATATTATCACAATTTATTCCTCATACATTCATAAAAATCTCCTCTAAAAATAGAAAATATTCATTTAAAGATTTTCTGATCATTTAAAGAGTCAGGAAACACCATTCACAAGAACTTACACATTATACGAAAGAATATTCAAATATAAAAACCGTATTCAAATATAAAAATCTCAATAAAAATTTCTTATAGACGATGTGTCAATGTGACGTAACAATACCAATCTATTATTATTCCCCATAAATACCGGAGAACACGAAACAAAGAATAAATCTTCCGTACCTGCAATTAACGACGAGAATATTTATGTTCCTCCGTCATTATACACGTACACCATCGAGTCGCGAAGAACCCTCGGGATACACGTGATACGTGACTACGTATACTCATCCAGGACCACGAGATTTCCCCTTCCAGGTGTCTGAAAGGGAGCAGATGTGCACGTGGACGCAGGAAGTTTAGTTTTACAGAAGGAGCAGCTGACCTACACCGCGCATTCCTCGTGCAAGAGGATGGTCTCGGTGGTTGGCTTCGAAAAAGGGGGTTGATTGCCCCGTGGAGCTAGGTACGGCCTAGATATACACCCACATGTTGGCGCGGAAAGGAAAGGGGGCCCCCTATTTGAGAAACCACTTTATTAATGTGCACGTTCATTTCCTCAATGCATACTTTTATTTCATGTTTTAAGGGATGCTTATTTGACATGGGAAATAAGCTCCCTTTTTTCTTTTTTTTCTAAATCGTTTGTGAGAATATTGTTGTTTCCTTTAAAATCGAAAATTTACGATTATTTTTATTTTTCATTTTTTTTTCATTGGTTGCTGTAGATTTTTGAAATGAATTGTATATTTGCTTTTATTTGTATTGCTTTTATATGTATTATATATGAAATAATATATACGTGAGTCGTCTTTGATTAAACTTTTCAAACGAAATGTTTTTTTTCACTTTTCATTATAAACATATTAAGAAAAATTCAAAATTATATGATGCTTTCGTTTATACGAAATATAACATGTGTTATTATGAATTAATATATTAAAAAATTAAAAGAAAATTAAGAATCCATCATTATAAATTCTTATTATATAATATGCTTCTTATCTTATAAAGTTTATAAGTTATTGATTATCTTATTTCCAAACATTCTTATTTATTGTCAATATCCAAAACATTAATATCATTATCATCACATATCATTAGAAGCGTGCATATATAATTTTTTTTCCACCTTAAATTAAATAAATTCTTTTAAATTCCAAATTTTCTGCCATTATTATCTGAAAAATATAACCAAGCTGGAGAAAAAAAATAGAAAAATTTTTCAAAGAATTTCCTCCAGGAAATTCACAAGATTAAAGCTAAAACTAAAGAATTAAATCAATGGTCTCTATAAGATAGTTTTTACCTCAATTTTGGAATGGACCGGAATGAGAACACGAGGCAGAAGTTAGACCATGAGAACGAGGTAATGGCATACGAGAGGAGAAGGTGGCAGAGGTGGGTGAAGAGGATGAGGAGGAGGCAGAAAAGCTGCCGGTCAGATTGTGAGCCAAGCGAGGAGGGTTGCAGCTGCTGTGACAGCTGCAGACTTCCCAATATTATTCGCTGGGCCGCTCCTATCCTCCGAATGGTCCCTCACGTAGCTTCTCCAGGTGCTGCTCGCATCGGCGCCTCGAAAAATCCTTCTTTGTTCGAGCTGAATGCTCTATGTGTTGTCTGCCCTGTTCAATATCGATCTGGGATGAATTTTTATTGATTTCATGTATTATATTGTGATGTGAAGAAAATTTATTTTTATTCCTGAAGCATGTATTAAAAATTATTTTCTGAAGAGATATTATACTTCATCTTTCTGTATGTTTGTATCAAGGAATTTTTTATTATTTGAAGTTTATGTAGAAAATGGAATATATTAAAAATTTGTTTTATTTGTTTTTTTGAGATGTTTTGCAATATATGTTATGTGTGAGGAATATTGATTAGGAATTTCAAAGCAAGATTGATTTTCCATTGAATATTTATATTTAAATTTTTTAATAAATATATAATATTTAATGTGAAATAATTTTATTCACCTCAAAAATTACTTCATTATCGATTATCAATCGATTGCAATACAAAAAAAATTTATTTTTCTCCTTAAAGAGACATTCGTTCTCTTTTAACTCATAATTCACAATTTTTTTTTAAACATTTTAAAATATTCCTTTCTATATAATTATCTCTATTAATATTATTTTTGATTCCAAGTTGATTAGTTTTAAAATATATATACATACATCAGTTATAAAAAACATATTCAGTGCACGAATTATTGCGTAACCATCAACATATTCAGGTCGGTAGCTCGACCTTTCCCCAGTATGTACCTGTGCCGGATGCAAAACTGGACTAAACGTCAAGGAAACGTATGCTTACTACTGAACCTACGTAATCGCGATTTCCCTCGTGATTACAAAAACGTACACTAGAAATCCATGGAAAAATCATGAAACTGTCAGTTTCAAACCTGTTGACGATAAAAAGAACTATTATGATTTCGAACTTACAATATGGATTGTAGTTTGATAACTTGTAACATGTTTGACAACTTTCTACTTTGTTTTTTATTTAGAAAAACGATGGTGAATCATTAAATTCTCATTCGAATCGCTCCATTTCCGTTTATCGACATGTAATCGAGTTGGTTTAGAATAGATCGAGATGATAAAAAGATGCCGATGAGAGGACGGTTTTTCTGAGTTCCGGTTGCATTGAGATATTCTGTATGCTGGCGGTTCTGATAAGTCAGCATCTGGTCTGGAAATCGGAGAAACTGGTTATTAAGGATATCGGATCCCTTGACACGAGAAACGTTACGCACCAATTACATTAGTGTTCGATATTTCATCGCAAAAGTGGCCTGAATGATATTGTTGGAAAATGCAACGGTCTGCACTATATTTCTTCATATTAGATCCAAATAGAAAACGAATAATTTTTCATGAAAATTTTCTTTTGATTCAGGATATCTTGTTTTTTTATAATGAAATATTTGATTTTGTAATTTATAATTCATGTACACATATGGAAGTTCTTTTCAATTATCCTTATGTAGCTAGAAAAAAAATCTTAAAATATATATATAGAATGTATATGTGTATAGAAAAAAAATTAGGATTTCATAAAATAATACTACCTTGAAATTTCTTTAAAAAATAATTTCTTATATCTCTTATCATTAATATAACTTTGTAATATGATCGATCATCGATATCTAAAATGATTCATCTTTTATTTAATATATTATACACTTTAATATATTATATCTATATCATATTTTTTCTAAAATAATTCTTTAAACTCTGTATGAAATAAAATGGAATAAAATATTTCAGAAATTCAAATTGAAATCTGTAGAAAGTGATGTCGATGACAACCATTGAAACTCATGTAAGTTTACTCTTAAGAAAGAATGATTTTGATCTAGAGAGAAAAAAGAGGGGAGAGACACCTGCCCTATGTATAAGAAGGGACGAAAAGGTGCGTGATCGTGAATATCATGTCTGTGAAATTATATGTCCTTAGGGAATTAATACAACCTGACATAGCGCACCTGTTGCGAATTTTAAATAAAAGAATCCTTGTATTCGAATTTCAAACCATCACTATCATCCTTCCTCTTCTCGATGTTTCTTTTTTTCTGTAAAGACGAGAACTACAAATAAAAATGAAACAATAAATGCAAATGTAGTTTGCTAGTAGAATATTACAATTAATAAAAAATAAATTCCATAAGAAATTGATTTGAATTTTTTGCGAAGAAAATTAATAATAATGCAATCATATCTTGTCTAGTTAAATTGATAAGTTTCTTGAACTTTTTCTGAATTTCTTAATACAATATTAAAGCTTCTCATTTAAAAAAAAAACAACCTATTTTGAATTATAATATTATTGTTATTTAAAATTTATATAATTTTACTAAATTATTAATTATAGAATTTATCCTAATAATTTAGTAATTCATTTTGAATTATTTTTACAAGATATCAAATATCAAAATTTTCTAATTTATCATTTTTATAGATACATATACATTGTTCATACATATATAAAAATAAAACAATGAATGAACAACGACGTTCACGATAATACTTCGTTATCCAAGGTGAACAATGCTATTTATATGAGCTAGTCGAAGGCTTTAAATAGGAATCCTTACAATCGACTTCAACTATCCCTGACATAGCTCGTAGTAATAACGTTTCTCTCGATCCGTTTCGATTTTTAAAATAGATTTCATTGTCTTCGACATCGTGATTGCATCAAATTACAGATTGTCATGGCAAAAAATTGGATTATTCGCAAGAACATATGTTAAACTATAATTAAACTATAATTAATATCGATTTAAAAAGTTATTTGAACAAAACGTGCTTCGAATTTGATGTGAATTGGTCCCCTAAAGGTTCAAAATATATCAGGCAGAGAAAAATGACATACCCATTTATCTGATGGTCAGTTGGAATTTCTGGTCAAGGAAAATAGGGAACAGATGTGAACTCTTGAACTATGCGGGTTGAATTAAAAATTCTACGTTCTACGAATCTTTTGAATGCCCATAATGGATATGAACTCAAAGGGTAAAGCCATTGGTCGAAATTGTGTCGCTTAGACAAGATATGATGATGAAGAAACTGATTAAAAATTCGGAAGAGAATCTATATCAAATACTTTTAGATCTGATAATATTTCTCAAATCTGATAATATTAATCAGAACAAAATGATATTTATAGATATATGAATTTTTTATCTTTACTTTTGAACAATCATTATAAAAATTCGAAAAAAGAAAAAATTCAGAAAAATTCGAGAACGATATATTTCAATTGCCAAAGATTTTTTGTCTGTGATGAATTCAGAATAAATCAACTAACTGTTTCTCTTTCTTTTTTTTAAATCGTTTATTTTTATGTTCCACTTATTCTGCTAATTCTCCACTGCATTCCATATGGCATAATTGTCTTTCATTTAACTATCACCATCTATAAACATAAAGAGATTATATATAAATCTGCTCTGTTTTCGATTGTCCTGGCAAAATAATGTCTCACCAAGATCGAAGGCGGAGCTTCGCGGATGTTCCTTGTTAGAACGCTGGGGTACCGGTTTGTATAGTTGGCCAGAAGGCTCGATTCCGGTCTGGTGGGGGGAAGGTCGAAGAAGGCCGCAGCTGGCTAGATCCTGTCCGCGTACATACAGCTGAACGCGGTTGAATGTAAGGAACATGCCTTGCCAGTTGGGCCTTACAATGTCGTTTTCCTCCCCTCCACTGTGACGGACCTGCAGTTGGCAACACGAGTATGTCTTTACCGATCATGAGTCGCTATCGGACAAATTCTTTGTCTTGGAAAGGGCGTCAGTAAAAGTACCGCTTTGATAGCGATCACTTCGACTACCTGATTCCAATCAACACATCAATAGTCTTGATTAGTTGTTGGAGTGTCTATTGTAAAGGGAACATAGATAATTTTTCTTCAAACACATTTACTTGGATCTTTGAAATGATTTGGCCTCGATATTCACTTAACCTCTATTAAAATATTTAATCAAACATTAGTTAACCTTAAAAATAGTAAATTTTGATGTTTTTTTAAAATTAGTTTTTCTATCACTCTTTGTTTATTTGATTTATATAATTATTAATTTCATTAAAATGAAATATTTATATGTTTGGATATGTTTGGACTATATATGTTATGGAGAAATTAAAAAAAAAATAATTAGAATAAAAGATATTGAATTCTATTATTTTTAATCATACCTTAATGTAAAATCGTTTCATATCATTTATTATATATATTAAACGCGAATCCTAGGTAACCTTAAACGATTTCTAAACCGCGATCCATGAAGTCAGCGGCGATTGTACTTGTGCCACATATCCGATAATCTCTTTCACACGTTCCTTCATTCACCGTCTTTCCCTGGTCACTGTCCTTGTCTCATCAACACCATTAAACTTCTCTCGTTCTTCCCTTTTTCTTCGTTCATCTAAAATAAAGAAGAAACAAGAAGGCAACGTATTACTTTGACGAAAAAAAGTTTATATCTCTTGAAAATTATACCGTGGTTGCGTTCGTCTTACGATATCATTTTATACAGTCTCGCTTCCTCTTATAATACGAACCACCCCATTAGCCATTTTCCACTATGCTCGTCTTTGTTTCGCACGTGTTGCTTCTCGCTTTCTATCGTATCTACCAATCAGCGCGCTTGGTCCAGCGGGCATGACGCGACCGTTCCACAGAGAGGACCGACCGACCGGACTGCGAACAGTCTGTCAGTAAACTTCGTAGCGTGCGTTGCTAGCGCGCGTGCTAGCAGACCGTTTCCATGCGTGTCACGACACGGATACACGCCAGCCGATCTCTCGAACTGCTTATTAATATTTATAAGCGGTTGGTTAACGCTTCAAAGTGAATTCATAGTTTGTGAAGATCAGGCTACAGAAGATTTGCGTCTGAACAAATGCCAACATCGAATTCTCTCCTTATTTCTTGTGTTTTGCCAATTTTTTAAACAATCGCGAGTGCCAGAACGCGTATTGAACTCACTGAATTAGATATACATACAGATAGTAATATTACTGTATATTATATCGGTGAAATTTTGAAAAAGAAGAAAAGATGGTGCGTGGTCTGTCGCAGTGGACGAAAACCTTGAGCTTCCCTGCGAGGGTGTCCCCCCAGAGGCCTGCCAAGGAGTCGAAAGGGTTTCATGTGAGCCCCAGTGCTAGTCCCACATCGCCACCCAGCCCGATCAACGACAACATGGACAAGGCGCCGATTATTACCGATGAGGTTAGAATCTCACATTTTTTATTCTAACATGCTTATCGTGCTTAATGGTAGTGTTTTCGAAATTTAATCTATATTAATGATGATTGATTTCATAAGAGAGAAAAATAATGCTAGATTGTGTAATTCTTTATATGTGTAAACATAAGTGTGTTTTAGTTTCTGCAAAGTGCAATAACCTCATTCAAAGAAATATACAAATTTAATTTTATATATTGTTTAATTTATAAATGATCTCAGTTAGGCATGCCAACTTCCACGTAGGTCATTCCTCGAATATACTGGAGCAGCGTTTCAAGTTTATCGTCATACGTGTTTCAGATAACGGTCTGTTGCTATACGCTTCAAGCAACCATGGTTTAATCGTCAGTTATGTGCTGCATTTCAGTTCTTGCATTTGCACTTGTAGTGGCCTATACGTTTGTTTACTTTCACATTGATACTTCACATATTGATAGTTCATTGAAAAAAAGTATTACTAAATAAACGCGACATTAATTTATATTACTTCTAATTGAGATTTATCTTCCAATCATATTTATTTAAAATTACTATAAAAACATATATTTTTTAATTTTTAGAAAATAACAAATTTTACTTGCGTTCATCATTCGTTACATTCAATTTCATAACCATGTCGAACAGCCATGTAATTTAATCTTCATGCGAATAAAGGGAAACCGCAGAATGGGGGAAATCTATTATTGGACAAAACGGAAACAGAGGGTTGCGTTTCGATATCATTTACAACAGCACCATTCATGATTCTATATCGTTATTGGCATAGATTCAGTTTTCTACCTATACACGCCTTTGTTAATATATTACATATTAGTTCTCTTATTAAATACATACCTTTGTAACCATTTGATATCGATTTGTGAACACTTTTGTCAGAAACAAAACATTGTATAAGTTTGAATACTGAAAAGGGAGAATTTTCGTATTCATTCTTTGAGTGCAGTCAAGCAATTCAATGCAAAACTAAATTATCCTTATGACAGCTTTAATAATAACGTAGTCTAATAATTATTTTTTGAATATATGCTTCTTAACTGATATTTAATATTTTCTTTTAATATTCTTTTTTTTTTGCAAATTAATATGGCTACATTATCTATAAATTTTAATTGTATAATAACACCACTAATTACAGTGAATAGAGTAATTTTTCGTTAAAACAATTCCATGGGTAAAAAAAATCATGAAACATAACAGGCAAATGTTTCAATAGGATCGTAGATGAAACTACATAACCTTTTCGCCATCTTTCTATCATGTCGACTGAATGATCGATTTATCTCGATAGCTAGAAATATATCGTTACATTGCTTGCATCAAACTTTTTTGAATCTGACTTCAGGATCGATTGTCTCTTTATTATCGATTTATTATCGATTAGATGATTATATCGATTACGATGTGAATTTATCAATATCGAATTTAAAATATAATGTCGTTTCTCTTGAGATTATTCCTTATATTTTTTAAATTGTTCAAGGAATTGTTTTAAAAATTGTATTAAAAATTGTCAAATTATTCATATATATTTAGGATCGCTTCAAATATTTGATTTATTATATTTTTGATCCTTTATTCTTTATGTGTTTGTATAACAAAATAAATGGAATTTATTCATGGGTAAACAAGGGATTGCTGGAAGTCACTTGACATTGTCACCGTCATCCCTCTGCCATATCGACCGTGTATTTAAGGAATCGAGTTCATCTTTTTTGCGGTCGGTTTAATCGTTCTAGCCCCCTCAACAACGCGTTGCCAACACACGTGCACGTCATTTATGATTCTCTTTATACAAACATATTTGCGAACGATTGTACACAATGATTGGGAGTGCCAAGTTTCCGCAAGGGGTGATTGGGGATATTCGTTTGTGTAAACACAACTTCAGAAGATGACAATGGCTTGACTGCAGCCGCTTGACGGCACGTGCCTTATGTTAAAAGCGAGTTTCTTTTTTTCACAAACTAATTCGTGTTATTGATGTGTCTAACCACATCAAATTAATAATCGTATTTAAAATAATAATTAGCATAATTGCTAATATTGCATTTATATATAAATAGTTTATGAACTGTTATGGCAAAATTAGGTTAGAAAGAAAAATCGTATTTTAACTTGGAAACATCTTTACTAGAAAAACGATCTGTTTCTAGATATTACTAAACAAGTATGTGCATATTACATAGACTAGTTTCAAGTATCATAGACAACTTGATGAATAAATCAAAGAAAACAAACTTATTCGCAGAATTTATTTGTTTTCACAGAAATATGCACATTTGAAGAAACTTTAAATATGTAAATATATTTAATCTTTTATTATAAAGAAATTCAATTTATTCGAAACAAATGAAAAAAAATAAGATAATAATATTTTTGTTTTTGTTATGATATGAACAACTTAGGATCGATAAAAATTAAAAAAATTGTTCGATTTCGATAAAATATGTCATATAACTTTTACTTAATACCACAAAACTAAATTGAAACTGTGAATGCGTAGAAATCTCGCGATAATGGACAAAAGTTTAGCCTCGTAACAGAAAACGCAAAGTCGCGGTTAAAGACGTTCAAGCGTTCTCGGGCTATATAAAATAAAGCGACAGCAAGAGCTGCCAGTGTCGATGAAGGTGGAGGCAAGAAAAGGACCGATGAAGACTGGTCCAAAGGCGGGGAAAGGCGACGGCGGAAGCGTGGGAACCGAGCGTAACAGATGGCCTCGGCTGCTTCCGAACCCGCTCGGCCTCTTTCGTGCACCTTCGTAGCATCGGATTTGCTTTCCGTTCTCGCGCGTTTCGTACGTTCTATGTATCGATGCAATTCGATTCTCGCAAAAATTTAGATAATTAGATTCGATAATTTTCTTGTGAAATATCATTGTTAGTATATAATATTTAGATTTATTATTATAGTAAATCTTTTTTAATTTTAAACAAGATAATCGAAAAAATTGCAAAATGTTCAAGAAATCGATAAAATGAATATTTTAATTTTCGAAGAAGAAAATATTAATTGACACGTAGGTTGCAAAACATTTTTACTGCCATCATGAGATAAAGAAATAAATAATATTAAAAGAAACAAAATTACATAATAAACTTACGAAGTGTATATCATTCGATTGACAGCGAAGAATAGATTGAGAGGTTAACAATGATGCAAAACAAAAATTATAGAAGAATTAATAGAAGATATTAGCTGGCAACTTTAGTGCTTAACTCAATATTGTGCACCGGTAAAATCTCAGGAAGCATTCAGACATATTACATGTTTGAATGCATCATATTGTATTAATAATAAAATCGAATGCACATATATATCTGAATAAAGGTACTAAAAGTCCATTTATTATAAATATAATAGGTAAATAATTTAATTTATATCAAGTATAATTATATATATCAAGTATTTTTTATAATTCAGTAAAATGCAAGTATTAACATGATAGACAGTAATAATAAAATTATTTTTAGTAATCTGAATTCCAATGAGTTTAACCAATTTGTCACGAAATTTCGCGAGTTATAAACTGATGACAATACAGGAAATTGTCGAAGGAAATATAAATACATAATCTTCAGGAAATAATGCTTATGTAGAAATCGTCACATCATTTTAGTTATCACCATGATTCTGTGACCTATGGGATCATTAAAACATTTTAATGAAGAGTGATATTATCACAGTTTAATGAAGAATGATATATATATATATATATATATATATAAACGCATTACAAGAAACTCTCTATTACTTTTCATGTTTGCATTCTAGTAACTGTCAGAAATAATTGAGCTCTTGTTTTAGAGTATAAAAAAGCTTTAAGAATTTGAAAAAACGAATTATAGTGAGGACTATCATCATTCTATTTTCTCAATTATTTAATTGCAAATTATTTTACAAACCAATCATATTGATTTCTTCATTACTTTTTACAGGACAATTGGCTTTGGATAATTCCTAAAAATATGACTAAATTAGTTGTCTGTGAGAACTATCTCTAATTAGTTTTTATTAAGTTACATATGAACAGTGACTCTTATTTAGGAATGTAAGATAACGAAAATACTTACAAGTCGCTGTAATTACTTCGTGTTAATTTAAAAACAATCCCCGTCTCCCTTCTCATAGAGGCCACCGCCTTCTTTGCGACCGGAAGTTGCCATGGTGCCTCTTTCTTCCAGTATTGTTCTCTCTACGCATTCCATTGTAATGAACAACTTCTATCTTTTTCTCTCTTTCTGATACTGCATGATTTAAGAAAATAGATATATAAGACAATCAATGATAGAAATTACGTTTAACAGAGTTCTTGAAGTGTGACCATTAGTTTTTTTCCTTGGATACTTTTGAAGCGTTCCATCGGTATTGTTACTGAAGTTCCGTAATCCATTTCGTTTTTATCTTTTTAATTGGGAAACAATTTATATCTCTTAAACACGTAATATTTATTCACAGTTCAAGAATTTCTAATTTCTTTAAATATTGATAATAAATAACAAGAAATCTATCTTGATGATTGTCAGTGATTAATATTAATAGCAACTATTATTGTGCTTATTTACGTAATGATTGGACTGTCTTTGGTATCTTTTGATTGCATTATTATTACGAATACATTTATTTATTTTGTTAAGATTATGGGTAAAAATACAATGATCATGGATTCTGATATAACATCACAGAGAATGAGCCGTATTTGGTCAAAATTTAAAAGTTTGTAGATTCCTGTGACTAGATAAGATACCAGAAAAACGTGCTCGAAAGATAAAAGGCTATCGGTAGCGCTTTTACTTGGAATTCTATCGCTCCAGTCGTCTTCTTAAATATAACATCCAAATGGAATTTGTACACAAAAATATATCTAAATCGGTCATTTATAAATATATATTTTGAATATGATTTGAAAAAATCATTAATCATTATTTTTGAAAAAAATTCCAGAAACAATCATATATTTTACTTAATTCTTAATTACATTGTTTTTAAATGTAATTGCTCGTTTGAATATGTATAAATACATATTTTAATTGTATCTTCGAATAAAATTAATTTTTGATTTTTTAGAATGTTTTAAACGAGATACAACTACCAAAACTGTTTGAAATTAAAATGGCCTTGTTGAAATTCTAAAATTATGCTCGTTCATGGGTCGTGAACTTTTCTTGGAACCCTTAAATTTTATGTTACGATTCTTTGGTGTTCATTCCATGAGAAAGGAATGTTCTATTTTTCCAATGTCAAGAAAAATCTTCAACGATAGAGAAATGAAAGTTTTCTCTTTCCATCGACTTTTCTCGCTTCGGTGAAAAAACCGGTGAACCTGATCTTAATTAACAATCCATTGTGTGATTAATCCATGCAAAATCTGTGTGTGAAATTCATGGATCACGAAGATTACCACTAGAAAATCGTTGAATGCCATCCCACGATCTCTAATTTATAGGATTTGAAGTGTACGGACGAGCTCGGATGGATCATGAGCTCTCTGTAACCGACCGGAAGTTTTCCTTTCGCACGCGATCATCTTGTCTTCCTCCGGCTAGAATGATCGATCCGCAAATAGCGATTCTACGACGGGAAACTCGAAATCAAGCGAACAACCTGTAATTATTGAACTTAACGTGCATTTCAATCATGTAAAATAATGGTTTGATACAAACTGTATATACAATAGTCGAAAAATCGATTTTTAATTCGTTGATACGTAATTTCGATCATTCATAATAAAGTACTATGTGCATTAATTATCAGACGTGATATGTTTAGAATAAATGAAGGCTACGTTTTTAAATGAATATGGGATGATATTTCTATATTTTTTTAAATGAAAAATTTAATAAAAATTTAAATAATGATATCAATGGATTAAAAGATTATAAAAAAAAAATGATCGAAATTATAAATTCTGTGAACTAGGTTTGTTGAGGAATTTTAGCGAGTTTGAAACAAATTAACAAGCGTAGCGATTCGAGAGATATGATATGTTAATATTTAGTCATCGAGTTGTCAAGGTCGCATGGTTTCGAGTTGACGAAAAAAAAATGAGATTCACCCGTTGGATTCGAATACGTAACCATCATGTTCGTGCATCGCTAATATCAGTGGAAGATTTTTCGAATACCGGACACTCTCGTCAGACTGCTTTCCGTTTCATTAAAATACTGTGCGTTCCTTGTCTGATGTATCAGTTCTAGAAGAATCGAATTTTATAAATGTATTTTTAAATATTATTTGCATTTTAAAAAATATCTACTGACGATATAATAATTATCATTCGTTTCTTTTCAGAATCTTATTAATTTTTTTATCTATCCATTTCAAAATGAAGATAATTTTGTGTAAAATTCTGAAGATCTTGAATGCATGAAACATTTAAAAAGAATATTAAAAAAGTTGAGGTATACACATCGAATTCTTAAATAAATTCAATTCGATTTCCTATTTACCTGTGTTAAAATGGTTATTTAACGATTTTCCTCGTTTCTAGAAAATTTTCACACGGCAGACCGAGTTAGAAAATTCCTGCGGGACCGCATAACGCAGAGATGATCATCGTCCTCGAGAATAAGTGGAACGTACGCGAAGATTGTGTCCGTTATTTCGCTGTGACGTCACAACGACTTGTAACCGCTGTAAGAACGCTATGGAGAGAAACTACCCGTGATGTCAGCCTCGCGATGCTTCGTGTCGGTATTCTAATTTGCTTGTTCAAGCATTATAATGTTTCGTGGAATCAGATGCATGAATTCATTTGGATTCATCGTTATTCAATCAGAGGAACCGTTTTTAAACATTTAATCGTTTGACTTGACAAGTAGTTGGCGTTAATAAAATAATGAGATTAATGATAATGATAATAAATCTTTTATACCGTGGCTTATGCTATATTTTTGAAAAAAACCTCTTTAAAAGATATAATTTTTTGATAAAGATATCTATTGATAAAATGAGATTAATAGATTTATTTATATTTATTAATTTATATTCTTCTCACTTGCAATTAGAGGAATTAGAAATCCAATTATTTATGATTTGATAGATTAACAAATTATTAAGATTAATAAGATTATTAAATATCGTATCTTGAGATTTAAAACTTGGTTGGAAGTTTTTGATTAAATAATTGGTATTTATATTCCTGTTTTGTGAGGAATTTGAAATATTCAAATATAGTTGTATGCCACGAATATTCAAATCTTTCATGAATGAGACTTTTAATTGTTTTAAAACTGAGAATTTACTATATTTATATATATTTGAATTAACTTATAAGTTGTTGAATGAAGCGACATTTGTTTCAATGTAAATATTTAAATTTGAATTCAATGTATATTTAAATATGTCAAATTCATACGATTAAAACATGAAATTCCAATCGTTACATCGATCTTTGATATTTGCGAAGACGCATCATTTTATTATCAAACTTTCAAACTTATGTAACATTATACTTTCGGTAATACAATTTTCTGTTGCCGCTTAGTTTCCCAAGAGAAAGCACCGTCTCGTTTTGACGGTATTACGGAACTTGCGCAACGCGAGATCGTTGCCCGCCGTTGGCTTAATTGGCCGCTCTTTGTTTTAATTAATTCGTCGCCTGGCTTCCTTTCGATTGTTCCAAACTCTATCTAATGGTACACGCTTCACCTATTCTACGAAGTCACGTTATTATCTTTCTAATTAAACATAATCCATCATCGCCAGAAGGATATACTTATCAGTTGCCATTTATATTCATCACAAAGAATAATCTTTCCGACGCAAAACATTTATTTCAAAAGAAATTATATTTTATATATGTAATATTTTTTATATTTATTTTCTTCTTTCTTTTTTATCTCAAAAAGAAATAAATCTTGGATTCAACGTCCCAACTTATATAATTACATCAAAATTATAAAATTTCATTATTTTACATGCAATTAACATAATTTTTTTCTTTAATAAATTTAATTATTGTATATTCCAAAATTTTAATGCATGTCTAATCTATTTTCAGTTCACAAATCATATTAAATCTCAAAAATTTGAATTTATATATAAAACTGTGTAAGTATCCAATCATATCTCTGAAAAAAAAACAACTTTTTAACTATAAATAATCGAAACTCGAATTTCAACATACCATATACAGAGAAAGATTTTCCATTTTAGGACGAAAAGTCGTAGACAAATGAACAAAGGCTATAAAGTAGAAGACCGGAGTGAAATGAAGTCTCGATCACGACTAGTGTAAGTGTATTTTTCCCGGTATTATGGCGTGGTTGGTTCTTATTTCTTTGTGTTCTTCCTTTTTTTTTTTTTCGCAATCTCGAAACTGAAGAGGTAGGTCTGTCTCTTCCATTCTCGGTGGTGTTTATATCGCGCCGGCGGTGGCTGGTTGCGTTAGGTTCCTCGACCTTGCCGGTCGTGCAGGTTTCAACTTGCAGGCACCTACAGACATCTATACTGGGTGTACCTGCGTGAAAACGTCTGATTCGAAGCTGAATGTATTATATATCGGCACACGATATCTGAAAGATGAAAGCTATATTAGCATCAAATTAATGATTAAGAGGATTGAATAATTATTGATTGAGTATTGTGGTTTATTTAATTTCTAATACTTATAATCTTGATAAATTTTTGCATGATGAATTTTTCTGTGAATCTAAAGTTTTAGCAATGAACAATTTTTGAAAGACTTTATGTCCTTTTATTACGTCCATTATGTCTCTTGAGGACAAAAATTTCTTCCAGTGGAAATGATTATTAAAAGTTCCTTGTAATAGTTTCTTTTTTCTTTTTTTTTTTTTGGAAAACTATTGTATGATCACGCAAATTGAGGAATCCTGAAAATCATAGAATCATTAGTATTAAGATGCAGAAAGTAATTTTAAAGAGATCAAAAATATTTAAGAAGTATCATCTAAGTGTTGGCATCCAAATGGATGAAATTCTATGTTAATTCATTTAAAAATAATACTAATTTTTGATTGTATCGTTGTCTAATAATTTATTGCAAAGGAATTAGATAACTTCGAATAATGATTTATTAAAAATCGTATCATATATTAATAGTAGAACCAATAATTATTTCCATGCACGACGTAACGCGTTAAATTTATTCCAGTTCTCTCGCCTCCTGCATGGTTCTCGGTACGGGTTCACCTCCTGCATCAGGGTTATTATTGAACCTCGCTATTTCCGAAAACCGTCACGACTTCTTCGTCGACTGCCATGGTCGATGGTTCTTCCTGGAACCAGAAACATGGCATAAAAATTCTAAAAAGATTTGTATGCCGCCTCCCATATGCTGTACCCATACCTCCTTTGTAATGGGGAAAGTCTTCCACGGACGGATTTAGATTTATTAGACAGTTGTTACACACCGTCCATCCACCGTTTGTTTTCCCGTGTATTTTCAGCCATTTTATCGCTTATCCACTTCGAACATGTTCTGCATGATCTTCTAAAGTGTTCTTATAGCCTACTTTAATCTACTTTAAATTTTGATTTAGTTAGGAATTAATTTAAACTCACACGTTACAATATTGAAAAAAATGTAACGTTAAAATTCAATATCATTTTATGATATCTTGTACTTGTGAATATAATTTAGAAAGAAAAAATATTCTTATTCTTTTCTCTCCTCTTTAGATTTTATATATTTATCATTTATATAAAAATATAATGTTATTCTGCATATCAATTTTTAATATTATAACATTACTTATTTAATATTCTATAAAATATTCTAATTTTATTCTTAAATTGAATAGTTATTTGCTTTGAAAACAAATTTTCATTAAATCTAAATTAGATTTGTAAAAATCTCAACGTAAAAAATCTAAGTTAGCAGAAGTTCTTAGCAGTATCTTATGCAATATTATGACATCATTGTACGATATTGACAACTAGAAAATAAATAATAATGTTAAAATAGAAAATTACAACGACGTAAGAAAAATATGTAGCATTTGAATTATTATTTATTAATTAAATCCAAACTAAATTCAAAAGAAATTTAAAGACATAAAATGATAGTCATTGATGGAATTGTTCACTATGGCACTAATGGGATTCTCATTTAGCATACAAACAATGAAAGCTTGTGTTTATCGATACAGTCTATCATTTAATTTAAACAGCATCATAAGAATCACTGAAGCGAAATTACCAGCAGCCACTTAATAATTAAGGATTAAGTAACCGATTATATTGTTCCATAGTCATTTCAAATTTTTAATGTTATTTTCATGTATGTAATACATGTTTCCGGAGAAAGTTATCTATACGAACTAGACCTAGTAAACTTTATCAATCGACTGGATATTATCTGATTTACGAGTATCGAGTACTTGTAATGACAGAATTTTTATTTCTAAATTCAATATTGCACTGTTGTTTGTAAGTACTCAATATCAATTTTATCGCATTTTATCGTTACATTGTTTAAAAAAATTATCCTGTGTTCGAAGATCTGTAACTTTACAATTTTAACTAGCGTTATCAAGAACAAATAGATTTTTACACAAATAGAGATTATAGTGCTAATTCTTTGTTTGAAATGTATTACGTATATCGTAGTTTTCGAGTTATGATGAAAGAACTTTGAGTTTTATTCTTCATGGAATTGAATATTGTAAAAGAAAAAGGGAATTATTTGTTGATTATTATTGACACTATTTTGCTTACATTTTAAATTATGTTATATTTCAAAAACCTAATAAATTTTATTATTGAATGTAAAAATTGTAAATAGAATATGAGGAAAAAAATAATTATTCATTATTATTCATTATCATTATAAACACTATTGAAGAGTTTAAGGAATTTGATTTATGTACAGATACAATTTAATTCTATTTCGAATAAATCTTAAATGATATAACATGATATATAGGATAATTATAAAATTTTAAGATAATATTCTACTCTTTATATTTTAAAATAAATATAGAATATCTAATATTTTAAATAATAAATTGTATCTCCAACCAAATTTCTTAAAAACTTTTAAAGACTTACGATAAAAAGATCCATTATCTCGATCTTTATCATTATTATCTCTCGATTGTAAAACAGCCAAGAAAAGATTTCGTACGAAACCGTATATCTGAAGAATTCCTAACAAAATGAAATGTAGGATCAGAAATCGCCGGTTTAGAGATGCGTGGTTGAAAATTGATTACCATATTTCACCAGTGGATGGAATGTCAAACGACTTGTTTATTGGGCATGAGAGGTGCACACTCGTAGATAGGAGTGCCTGGTAACAACTACCTGTTACCCAATTAATCGCTACCCACGTTCTTCGTTGGATGAACACCAAAACAGTTCGACGATCCACTCGTTCAGATTCAAAAAGATTGAAGATGATTATTCCACGATCCATCGTTCCTCTGTTTCTCAGGAACAAACACGAAATTGTCATGGTTTTGTAAAGTTTCGTTAATTGATCTACTTTCGCTTCGTCGAGTCGAGTCGAAACGATTTGATAGACTGTAATTTTTTGAGCGGAAAGATGGCTATTTGCATTGGAAATTGGAGGAAACAATGGATAAGATCGTTGTTCTCTTTGTGTGTTGCAGAATTTCCAGGATCTGGAAGCAGAAAAGGCAATAATGGGATCCATTGTGTACTGTATACATCATAAGGACGGGTGCAAGTGGTCGGACGAACTTCGGAAATTAAAGGTAATTTGTATTATTTTTTGTCTTTTTTCAAATTTTGGAAGTTTAAAAGAAAGAAAAAATTGATCAGAATCAATTGTTTAAAAAGTAATTGTTATCAAAATATTTTATGCCAGATACAAATATGCATTTTCAATTTTAATAATCATGTACGATTGTAATAATTAAAATATGAAATTTATGATAATGAGAATTAAGATTCTATTGTTCTTTGTAAAAAATATTAAAAATTTCCCAACTATACAAATATGGTTCCAAAATTGTTTAATTATGCATTTCTGATCTTTAAGCGACCTTGCATTGATAGGTCGTTGAACTGGTCTCGGCACTGTTACGACTCCCACGCGTTTTAAGGATAACTCGTGTCGGCCTTCCGGTCATTTATAAGAACAATTATCATCTCTTCTTCTATTATCATTATCAAACTCTGCATGACCTCTCGATAAATTGCGAGTTAAAAATACTCTATAAGTGGAAAATAGTCGCTATAAATGGCTTTGTACTTGTTGATATGAATAATAATGAGAAAATTCCATTGTTAAAAGAATCCTGTAAGAAGCTATTATAAAATATCATTTAACTTAAAAATTGATTTTGAACAATTAAATCCTTACCATCCTTTTTCTGACTTTTATCTATATTAATAAATCGAAACATTTTATTTTAAAATTAGCCCAAAATCTTGAAAATTAATTCGATAATGTTAAAAAATTAAAATTTAAATAGTGATAAAACTTCTTATATATTCACTGATTCATCTTTCAATGCTCGATGCTTTTTTTAATTTTATAAATGTTATTGCTATTCCTTCAATCTTCGGTATACGGTTCGTTCACCCAAGTTTACTTCTGATTGTCGCAACACGAGCGTAGATAGATCCAAAGGTTCGATCGAAGTAAAAGGAATGCACCGTTCAAGTTGCGCCTAATGTAAAAATCGCATTATATCCTGTTTAGGCTCACCTGAATACCTGCAAACACGACGCAGTCCCCTGCAGCAATAAATGTGGCGCGATGATTCCGCGTGTACTGATGGAGGACCATTTGAAATACACTTGTGCCCAGCGGCGAGCACGCTGCGACTTCTGTGCCAAAGAATTCACCGGTCACACGCTCGAGGTAACCGTCGCTGCATTAATTAAAAGAATCGCGATCGAGTGCCAGACAATATTAACTGTATTATAGTGGGAACGGATGGTTAGAAATGAAAGCATATGAATTCAAATAAAATTTTTCAAATTCTTTTTCCTTTTTTTTTTTTTTTTCTTTCGTTTCAATAGAATGCATAGATATTATTGCTTTTCCATCGAGTACTTGTATAGGTTATAATTGGAAATTTAATTTGATTTAATTTGGAGATATGTCAGTATTATTTTTTTTATTTTTTATTACTTTATACGATAACTTGGTATCGTGATGAAATTTAATAAGATTGATGATGTAACTGATAGTTCTATTTCTTCTTGTTTGTATACAGAAACACACAGGAACGTGTGGCTACGAGCCGCTCTATTGCGAGAATAAATGCGGTATGAAGGTACAACGAAGGCACCTCAGTCAGCATAAGTTGGGCGAATGTGCGAAAAGATTGGTGGCGTGTCGTTATTGTAACAAAGAGTTCGTTTTTGACACTCTTGGTGCTCATCACGCTAAGTGTGGTCGTTTTCCAGTCGCTTGTCCACATCGTTGTGAAACTGCAGTTTTACCAAGAGAAGATCTTGAAGTCCATTTGAAAGATCATTGCACTACACATCTCTTATCTTGTACTTTCAAAGATGCTGGTTGCCGTTTTAAGGTATTACATTTTGTTTAATAATTTAAATTATTTTTGTATTTCCGTTTTTTGTTTAGATTAGTGTAAAATAACATTACCCATTGTTACAGGGAAACAGATTCTCGTTGGACAAACATCTGGAAGAATCAGCAAAGATGCATTTAAGTTTGATGTGCAGTGTGGTAACCAAACAGCAGCACCAAATAACCAGTTTGAAATCTGCTATTAGTAAACTATCGTTAAACTATACAGGCACGCTTATATGGAAAATCACGGATTACAGTGCTAAAATGTCCGAAGCGAAAGCTAAGGAAGGAATGGAACTTGTCAGTCCTCCCTTTTACACTAGTCAATATGGTTACAAGCTACAGGTAGATAATATTTAACGTTCTAAATCATTTTTCTTTAGTTAAAGCTTGCAATATTATTGAATTTAAAATAATTATTTATAATAATTGTATTAATTGTATAAAATGTTCAATATTTTAGGCGTCAGTTTTCTTAAACGGAAACGGAACCGGCGAAGGAAGTCATATTTCAATATACATAAAGATTCTTCCCGGAGAATATGACGCTCTGTTGCGATGGCCATTTTCCCATAGCGTGTCTTTTACCATATTCGATCAAACTGTAGTCGCAGAAAAAGCGTGCAATATTGTAGAAAGTTTTATACCAGATCCAACATGGAAGAACTTTCAGAGGCCCAGTCGTGAACCTGATTCCCTTGGTTTTGGTTTTCCTCGATTTGTTTCTCATGAAATGGTAAAGAAACGACATTTTGTCAAGGATAACACCATGTTCATCCGAGTAAAGGTTGACCCTAGTAAAATAGTAGCCGTTTGAAAGAATGAATTTTTTTACGAGAATCGTATTTTTTAATACGTTGTATCATATTATCTCAATCGCTATCGTTCCACTTAGTACTGTTACGTTACACACGCGTGCACATGTGTTTTTCAATGTGGTTTATACGCATTTTCTATTTTTACATGTATTGTCAGTCCAGTAAACGATTAATGGTACTTGATATTTATTAATTGTATACTTGATGTGATAGGCAGAAGTACTTTATATACAAAGCACGTGGTACTTACGTCATTGCACTGATAGTATACTATGTATAGTGAAACTGTCAGAATATACATGAAACATTTAGGAAACAATAGTAAGTAATGAAATGAAATACTTGAAGGATATGAATTGGGAAATTTTGAATTTCAATTATCTTTATTTCTTTATGAATATTTATACGTAATTTCAGAAATTTGAATAAGAAATGTATCATGAATAGGCGATCTTATAATTATTTAGATGTAATATTAGTTAATTATTGATTGAGCATTTTTATATCAAATTTTAAAATTTCATCTTTCAATTATAACATCGAATTTTTACTTTGTTACGATTCCCAGTTATTTTCATCTTTCATTTCATAATAAGTTTCCACGTTCTTTATTGAATATTTCGATTTACAAACTTAACATTAGATTGAAGTTTTGACTGATATTAAAGCAAAATAATTTTTTCCAATTGATTAGCTTGACCAATGATCAATGTTAAGTTTGCTAAAACGAAAACTCTACTTTAAGAATTCAAATCAAAGATTATTAAAGGACTGTGTATTATAAGTTTAAGGGATGTAAATATTGTGAAGAAAAAAAAAAATGATCATAGCGCCGAAAAAATACGATATAATTAATCGAAGCGACAAATTTTACCGATGTAAATACGAATTTACACACATTAGTGATAATGAGAAATTGTGATTGAGATGCTAGTGACTGTATGTAATGATCTAAGATATAAGAAATAATAAAACTATTACATTCATATATTACATATAAATGAATTGTTTTATTGTCCATTTCCTTTTTTTTTTCATATGAGATCAATGAAAATATATTATAAATACATTATAAATATATATATATAAATATATATATATATATATATATATATACACACACATATATATATATATATAAAATATAATTTACGTTCTAAAAAATAATATTACAATATGTAAAAAAGAAAATATTCAATGTTTATTATACCTTATTTAAATGTTGTTGAAGTTGTGTTGATTTTCCAATCTGAGAAAATAATTTACTTAATGAATAACAAAATAAATCTAGTAATAAAATTATTTTTTTGCGAAAGATACTTACAGTTTGAATTCTCATCACTTGATCAAGAGCATGTGGAAGTAACGGACGCACACTATTGATTTCCATAGCAGTTAAATGATCTAATTTTGCATGCATTCCATCACTTTTAAGGAATGCATCTATAGATGTACGAAGCTTTGACATTCTTATGTCCCACAAATCCTAAAAAATATTATAATATATTAATATTAAAAAAAATATAAATAATTATAATTTGTCTTACTTTCACTGCTGTTCTTATTTTATCTGCTTCGTGTATATCATCACTTGCAGCACTTAATAAAAGTTGCGTTTCATCCACATAATGATTACTAGGCATTTTTGTAAATAATCTAAATAATAAATAACGATAAATTTTTTATTTTAAGGAGTAATTTACTAAAAAAAAAAAAAAAGAAAAAATGAAATCTTTACTTACTTTGATAATTTTTCTTCTTCCTTCGCTTCATTTAAACTTTCGGCATCCATCCATTCTTGATTAATAATTCGACACTTTTGCTGTTGTTTTAAATTCACAGCCAACCAAATCGGAATTTTGACAGGTAAACCAGCTCGAAAAGGACCTACCGAGCCAGAAATCAAATGAATTGTGTCAAAACTAAAATTGGGTACAATAGTGACTAATTCTTTTTCACCAAGAAATTCTACTTCACTTGGATCCATTATTTAATATTTATTTTTTATAATAAACAATGTTTACTACAATAATTTTAATATATTCTCACTACATAACTTACGACGCATGCGACTCTAAGAATTTTACTTGCTGTACTAACTTTTGGAGGGAAATGATATTAGGAACGCCATCTATTGTTAACTACAGTAACTTTAAAGGGAACACAAGCAATATCAAATATATGCTGATTTACATAAAATATACAGGATATATAATAATTCGATGACCAATATCAATATCATCGAATTGTTATAAAAATCAATATTTTAAGAAAACTTTTCTTTTTATATATAACAGACGGTTGACTTTAATTTTTGAAATATTTGCAAAAATTTTACGAAATATGTATAAAGTATGCTCTATAATATATGTAAAATTATACATATATTAAAGATTTTCTACACATAAAAAAAATTTAATATATACGAGTAAAATGATAAATATATATATAAAATATAATGTATAAATAAATACCTGATGAAAAGGAAATATAAAAAATAGATGAGCATTTATTTCTCGAACGTATAATTTTGCCGAAGTTAGACAAGGAGACCGAATAGTGAGACAAGGACAGAGATAGGATAAAAATGTGACAATCAGCGCCATCTCTGGAGTGCCGCAAATGAAACACAATATAAATAAAGAGAGTAAATAATAAAAGAAGGATAGAGATAGAGTTAGAATTAACTTCTGGCGCCATCTCTCGAGTGCTTTTTTAAACAGGCATTTTTAACAACCAAAAGATGGCGCTAAATGTCAATTCCTATCCTACCGTATCATACCTTTGTAAAAGTGTATTTGATATTCAAGAGATGGCGCTAGAAGTCAATTCCTATCCTATTTTATAACACCTTCGTAAAACTGTTTTTTGCCACTCAAGAGATGGCGCTGATAGTCTTTGTCTGCATTTAAACCTATTCGTTGCAACGATACCGATAGTTTTGCATCTCTGCATTTCACCATACGTTCGTTAGATGGCTGTATCTACGATGATTCTTAAAAGGGCGCGAACAATTTAAATTCATTTCCTCTTTCTTTCTTTAGAAAGAAGCTTAAATATATATATACATAAAAATATAAAAATTTTTTTTATCAACCGTAAATTTTATTTCATAGACAAATTAATTCGCATTAATTGGAAATCAATCGTTCCTTCGGTGTTATTATTTTGTTTCTTCCGATATCATGGCACACTTAGAAACATGTTGGCGAAACAATTGCAACATTGCACCTGGTAACGAGATCCGTTAGTCGCCATAATTTGGACATACCGGGCGCCCAATGTAGGCGTTACAAAAATTTCCAGTAATACACCAATAGGAATAACAATGTTTTCCCGGGCCGCCAAATCCATCGTGAAAACCATCGGTCAGCGAAAATATCCCGCTGGTGAAGAGAACATCAAGGTATAACATTTATTTTGAGAAAACAAGAAATTTCTCAAGGATACGAATCCCCCTCCGTTATCATCCTTCCCCTTTTCGAATTCCCATTCGCGATTTCATATTTTTTAACAATCTCGAAAATGAAAAGCGCGATCTCTTTATTAATATCAAAATGTATCTAGCCTTTCCTTATCATTTTTTTTTTTTTATCACTAATGCAGCTGGCATTGATCGGAGGGGCAGGGGAGATAGGCAGATCTTTGTCGCAAATGCTGAAACAAAGCTCTAAGCTGGATGTCCTTGCACTATATGACGTGGCCGCGTTGAATAAGAGATTTTCAACTCCGATTGAGATTAATAAATTTTGTGACGCTAAAATCACAAATACCGCGGTAAGATTCCTCTATTCAGTAAGAGGAATATATATACATATATATTATATATAATATATATGTATATATATGTGTAATCCTTTTTTTTACTTATATAATCTTTAACAAAATCTTTTAATTCGAATTTCGGAACAGAATTCGCGGATGTTAACGATGCTGGAGAAATCAAGAACAAACAAAGGTGACTATCGTCTGTCGAACGTGAACGAGGTAATTGAAAAAAAAAATCTCTATTAATTAATACGTTTGATAAGATACACGTACACGGACATAGATTGAAAATATATTTCGTATTATAAGAAGAATCTGAGCGAGGATTTCGTTAACATTCACCGATTGCCGACCGCCGAAGAATGCGCCACCAATCGATATTCTAAAACAGCAGAGCAACCGCAGGTAAGAGTGTTTTGTTAATGTGTATTCCCAACACAATCTTTTATCGATATGTATTTCATTCAAAAAACAAAGAATGGAATATTACTACGTTAACACGTTCTCTTTGTCGTCCACTGTTTTTTTCCCAGATCGGATATTTTTAATAAAAAAAAAATACCAAAAATCTCTTGGATAATATCAGTGTTATCTGGTAATAATAAAACGAAACGAAAATTTAAGAAAAATTAATTCTCGACGATCGTAAATTTCGATCGTGAAAAATCATGAAAAAAGAAAAATCTATACATAAATTATAAATTATAATTGTCGATTGATCGATTTATTATAAATAACTTGTAATTTATTACAAACTTACTTAAATTAATTTTGTCAAAATTGATCATAACCTAAATCATAACCTAAAAAAAGCAGTTTGTCAATTCGAGAACGCGTTAACGAGAAACACCACATTAATTATTACAATTCTGATCAATTCAAATGATGAAAAATATTCGGATGCGAAAAACGAGATCGATTTTTTTTCGCGTGTATCGATTAAAGATATATATATATATATCGATGAGTTGTATATAAACTCGATGGCGCGTCTCGTCGACTTGTTACCGCGTCGATGATCATAGGATGAGGAGGAGGAGGATAGGGATGAGAAGCTGACGAGGCTGCGCAAAGGTTATAATTTCGCTGCGACTTCCGGACTTTATTATATACCGGACAAACAACAATCACTCTTTACACATCGAATATGAAATGATCGGTGGAAGATTGGAAAATTTAAAAAAAAAAGAGAAAAAAAAAAGAGAGAGAAAAGCAACCTCTCTCTCCCTCTCTCTCTCTCTCTCTCTCTCTCTCTCTCTCTCTCTCTCTCTCTCTCTCTCTCTCTCGACGAGAGGAGATAATTTCCTTTTTTTTCCCTTCTTCTTCTTCTTCTTCTTCTTCTTCTTCTTTTTTCTTTATTCTTTATCTGAAAGATCAAAAGACAAGGTAATAAACAGTAGCGTGGATCAAAGAGTTCGTTCCTCTGTTGGGGAACGGAAGTTAGTAGCTTAGGAGCAGGTGTAATTCGCGAAGAGAAAGCAACGGAAGGGATTGCTTTCGCCTCAAATCGTTATTCGAATCCTACGTGGCATTCGGATCACGTACGTGCTCACACGTCGCGCGCCTCTTTTTTTGCAATATATACCTCCCCCCAGAAAATGCATGACGAGAGACGATGGACGGGCTTTGAACGCGTTAAACCTGCCAAATAAACGTCCCAACTATTTTTTTCTTTTTTTT